CACTCGAAAAAGGGAAAATCAATGACAATTCAATCGACGTCATCCATGAACAAAATGAGAGTATGGAAACATCCAAAGTGTAATATTTGTAAAAGACACCATCCAGGAGAATGTCGGTTTACGCAAGGATTATGTCTAGGTTGTGGCAAATCTGGACATTTCCGAAGGGAATGTCCCACTAACCCTGGACCATATTTGATTACTTCTATTCAAAATCAATCTGTTCGTTCAGGAAGAAGTCAACGTTCTAAAACACGAAACAATTCAAAGAATCCAACTCAAGGATGATACTTTGTGAAGATCCTAACGTGCTACAAGGGCTCGAGGATATATTGAATAAATGTAGAAATCCTATGTAAGCAAGAAATTATCTTTCGATTTGTATCTCAAGAATATTCGTATTCTCTTGAACTTACGTATGTTGAAACCATTGTATAATGAAATCTTTCATTTGACCCATATTGAGAAAATGTTGATATTTACATGATGCGTTCTGATGTTGAAAATAGATATTTTTCTGACTTGCACTGGCCATGCAACTTAGAATAATATTTGTGGTTAACTCATAATGTTCATGGACAATATTATTTCAACATAAATTCAAATGAAATTACATAAAGTAATATTATAAATGCAATTCCAAGTCTAGTCTTCCAGGATTCATAAACTCATCGTAACTAACCCCAGGTCCCGGGAAAGCTTTAGCAAACTCTAATTTGTCTAAAAGCTCACCAACAAAGAAAGAAGAAATGAAAAGTTTCCTCTGACTCAAAGACATGAAGTTTTGCCTCACTGCATCGTCTAGAAATTTGATTAGGTTATTGAAATAACCGTCAATGTTCAAGAAACCAATGGGTCTATTGTGTAACCCTTCAGAAGCCCACGAGATCAAGGTGAACAAACCTTCCATAGTGTCAACTCCTCCAGGAAGAACAATGAAAGCTTCCACGGCATGATTCATCTCAAAATATTTGTAGTAATTGCTGGAAACGGTGTGCTCTACACCGTACGTAGGTCCATAGACCCGTCGTGTTGCTATGTACCTAGGAATGAAAAAACCTCTAACGAGACCAGCATTGGTAAAGACTGTTGAAGCAACAGCTCCTTGTAGGCCAACGTTGCCTCCTCCATAAGCAAGACTAATTCTTCGTCTTAACAATTCCCTTCCTAAATCTACCGCAGTAGCCATAAACTTTGGATTTCTACCAAGAGAATGACTGCCAAGTAGACCAACGAATCTTATGGTGTAAGGAAGTGTTTGAGAAGTTCCTTCCATAATATGAGAATGTGAGATACTCTTGTTACAATCGTGATATATATAGGCTCTGAATTATGACCTTTGAGAAAAAGGGTAGTATCCTTAGTCGAAATTTGTACAGCAAAGATGGATTCAATTTACCTACTGACAATGACGTATTCGCTAATAATACAGTCTGCTGACGATATGACATATCAAGACTCATGAACAGTTAGATTCGCTGTCCTGAAATACGTTCAAATCCAAGATGAAAAGTCAAATGGCTACTGCCCTGAAGACAATGACCCCTTGAGTAATTGAAAGACTACGTTACGACGTATGAATTGAAACAAACTGCAATTGTGCTTATCAAAGACCATTCAAGAGTATTGAAGAAATTTTCAATCAAATCTGTTAACCAAGGACGTACAGATAAGACTCGTAACTGAACGAAGTTATGTATGTCAAGTATGCAAGACTACACACTATGAAGGAACTTTTGTCGTCAAAGGATCAGTGAAGACCTTACTTAATCGAAAATTGTTAATCTCTCGAAGATTGAACGAGTGTGGTGAAATCAATGACTTGAGAATACGTATCCGAAAGATAGCGACATAACCATATGAATATGAAACGGTCATGATCAGTGAGATCATTACAAAACGTTGAACGTTGAACCTAAGAAGAATTTCGAGGACGAAATTCCTTTTAAGGGGGGAGAAATGTAACGCCCCAAAAGAATTTCGAGGACGAAATTCCTACTCGTTTGGTGGAACCACCCAACCCAACAGTGAACACTACGCTGCCGGTTTTTGGTTGACCTTAAGCGAAGGTAAGTTTAAGATTTGAAAACACTTTTTAAAAATACATCTTAAACTAGGCCAAGCTTAAGGATTAGAATATCTTGAACTAAGATCAATTTATTGAGACATTGAAATAAAAATATTGAGAATATCATGAATGAATTATATATTGTGTGCATGATATCAAATGGTTGTTTGTGAATTTAGATTCAATTTATGTGGATGTTCGACGCTTTAAATATGCTTACTCAGCTTCATTGCTGAGCGTGTAGTATGTTTTATTTGCTACACGCAGGTTAATAGAAAGAATGATGTGACGTGATTCTGGAGGCAGACGGAGGCGAGATTGTCGGAATGGATGTGATGGTTTTGAATTAAAGAACATAAATAAATTATGTTTGTAATTATTATTTGTTAAGCTTCCGCAATATTGAAAACTCCGCACTGAATATGCTACGAAAAATATTATCGTGATAAATAAAAGTGTTTGAAAAGTTTTAAATTTTACGATTACCAAGTTAATACTTTAGTCCGAAAGGGGCTGCAGACCTGGACGGATTAGGGTGTTACATCCAACCTATGCATTTTTCGATCAATGTTCATCTTTTTCTTCGTTCGGGTCCAATTCTGAGAATATCATTTTTAGTTACCAAACTTCAATTAAATTATATAGAAATATTCTCCAAGGTTCATAGATCACTTTGGTATCATTAATTCATAGTTTTAACAACAGTTTCATGGTTTGTGATTCTTGGTTCTTCAAGCATGTCAAACACAAAACTCAACCAAACAACCATTTATGAACGTAGAAATGATCTATACGAACATTCTAGTCACTAGATTTATCTACGGGCTTACCTCGAAGCTTAATGAAGGTTTTGAGAAATGAGAAGATTGAGTTTTTCTCTTATAGGGAAGAGGAGAAGGAAGGAAACAAATGTTGAGTGTGTGCTGCGTAGGAAGATTCACGTTCGGCGATAGTGGAGGGGGAGGCATCGTTCCCTGATTTGGACTAATTTTGGTCCCGGTCAGGGTACACTTTTTTATACAACTTTCTCCGAATTGAAATCTGTTTGCACCGTTGCGATTAGACACTCGAACTCTATCCAACGATATAATTTTTATATTTATTGGTAATACTTTTTCTGACATCATATTTTTGGGTGTTTGACTTTGACAGAGCCAAAATTGATTTAGTTGACCTTTATTCAAAAAGGTTCTCTCATTTAATTCATACTATATTCGTCTCACTATATTTGTCCAGTTTGACTTTTTCGAGTCAAACTGGACAAACTTTGAATTCCAATTATTCTCAATTTATATTGCATATAAGCATAATATTTTACAATTTTGAAACTTCTCAATACGATAAATCCTATAAAGTCATTTTTATGTGAAAATACATTACGATTTTTATTTAATTGAAGCTCAAAGTTTGTCCAGTTTGACTCGAAAAAGTCAAACTGGACAAATACACTAGCTAGGATAGAGGGAGTATTACTTATTCTCATGATTTATTTCAATAAATCATTTCAAAGTTCACATTATAAACAAACTCTTCATTTATTCTTAATTTGGATCTGTACTCAGGTTTCTAATCAAGATCATACAATAAGTCAACATATTTGATTTATCTCTATGAGACTTATCCAGATTGTGATATTGGATGTCAAAACACGTTTCGCATCGGCCCAAAGCCCAACAATAATTTATATTTATTCAAAAAGAAATTGATTAATTGAATAATAATTCAATTTAACTTTTAGGGTATATTTTGGGCGTTACAGGTTATCCATCAGATCTCCTGTAATGACCATGTAGAAATACGATCATGCAAAAATCTAACTGGTCACTTTCCGAGAAGGGCCTGACCAGTCACTTTCTCCGAGACTCTGCGCTACCTCAAACAGCACTTGAATTATTGACCGTTCATTTTATGACCTGTGACTTTTCGATGGGTTTAGGCCAGGTATTAGTTATACCCGTCATACCATATATGTCTTCATTAAAAAAAGTGTTGGAGTGTGACTGATTATACAAATGACTCAACGAATCTAGTCATTATAGCATCACAACTCATTCCCTTCTATTTCTCTTTCGCATCATCTACTTTTAGTATTACATCACTTACTCCTTCAATTTTCCACATCCTTCTCTAATCATCTACGGTACACCCGGATAATACTCATTCTGAGGTAGAGTAGTACTCATTCTCTCACAAATATAATTAACGTGATACTCATTCTAAAATAACGCAGTACTCATTTTCACACATTAGTTCAAGATAATTATAATATTCATCTACAAATAATGTAGTGTTTATTCTGAAACAAAACAACATTCATTCTCAAATAACTTGGTATTCATTCTTATGTAAAATAAAATTCATACGATAAAATTCACTAGTGGTACTACAACTACGAGTATATAAATGTGCACAATATTATGCTTTGTGCACTCACAATCACTGACATTCCCACAATCCCAAGCACAGTACCACCAACACCTCCCATAATTCTTTAACTCTTCTTCGCCAGACATATATGGATGCCGTCGACCACCAGCTCATGAAATCCTCATCATCGGGAAACCAAATGGAGATAATGACGCTCTTAACCATGCGCCGCCCCAACGAGCCGCAACCCACCGCCCCTCCCAATTACTTCTCCTTCTCCGCCGGCGGCGGCCAGGAATTTCCAGATCCGCCGCCGCAGCAGCACCACAGCTCCATGGAGGCGATGAGGGAGGTGATCTTCCGGATAGCCATGATGCAGCCGGTCCACATAGACCCGGACTCGGTGAGGCCGCCGCCGAAGCGGAAGAACGTGAGGATCTCGAAAGACCCGCAGAGCGTCGCCGCCAGGCAGAGGCGGGAGAGGATCAGCGAGAAGATCAGGATCTTGCAGAGACTGGTCCCCGGCGGGACCAAAATGGACACGGCCTCCATGCTGGATGAAGCCGTGCATTACGTCAAGTTCCTGAAGAAGCAGCTTGAGTTTCTGGAGCAGGCGGGCGGCGGCGTCGGTGCGGCGGGGAATCCCGTTATGGCTTCCGGATTATTTCCCCCGTCGAATGTGAATTATTCTGCGGCGGCGGCGGCGGCGGCGGGTTCCTCCTGTCAGGTTTTTCCATTTATGGGGGGGTCTCAATTACAAATGATGAGCTAAAAATAAAAGATGAGCTAGAGCATCAAAACGCCGGCTTGATGATTAGTCAGTCCCCACAATCAAATCATTTCTAAAACAACATGAGATGAGAGAGCACCGGAATTGAAAGAAGAGGCTAGGGTGGTCAACTTTGGTTTTGTTTGTAAAGCTTTTGCTTAGGCCTACATGTTTTGTTTCCTCACTTATCTTTTTTTCTAAATAATCTTTCCATTCCCTCACTCTTTATGTGTTCAAATGAGAGAAAAGTGCATTCTTTATTCTCGGATTTTTTAGAAATTGCATGACTTATCTCTAAATATTAAAAAGTACATCAAATATTACTGAATTTTTCAGAAGAGAGAAAAGTGCATTCTTTATTCTCGGATTTTTTGGAAATTGCATGACTTATCTCTAAATATTAAAAAGTACATCAAATATTACTGAATTCTTCAGAAGTTGCACATGTTAATTACTCCTTAACACTGAAAAGTGCACAAAATATTCCAAAACTCTTCGTAAATTAAACGCTTTACCACTAAATATTTAAATAAAGATGATAATTTTTAGGAAAGGGTACTTTGAAAAATTCACAAGAGGCGGATGAATCATACTCACAATTTCTTTGCATGGGAGTAACGCATTCTCAATCTAGCATTTTAAGACCAACGGTGCAGCGTTTTAAATTATTTCGGAGTATTTGGTGTACTCTTAAATGTAAATGGGTAAATCATGCAATTTTCGAAGAGTTTACAGGTAAGTAGTGCACTTTTCTCGTTCAAATTATACCGAGTATTGAATTTATTTATTGATTTTCATTGATATCTGATCAAATGAAATAGTCTTATCAATACTTGAATTTAATTTTATACTTCTTATGTTTTATTTATAAGAAATTACTCAAAATATGATCAAAATATAACCTTTATTCTTAAAATAATAGGGATATGCATATGTTCTCAAAATATGACTATTGCATTGTAATACTTCATATTGACATGGTAGTATTTCTTGGTTTTATATGTTGGCATTATTAAAATTTTAAGTCCTATTTTAGAGATAAAAATATGAATGTCATGTATGTTTACTACATTCCTTGTGTTTTAAACATATTTAAATATTTCTCCTTTAATTTATTAATTCTACCCTAATTTTTATATAAATTGAAATAAAAATAACTTCAATCAAATATATTAGTATGAAAAGACAACATAATTTAGGGATGTAGGGAGTAATTTGCTTCCTAAAATCCTCTTATTTACTACTAACTAACACGGTAAAATTATATTATCTTTCTTTATTTAATTTTATTGATCTGATAAGATAAAATAATCTTGCTAAAACTTTTTTCGTAGAACTCTTAATATGCTTTGTGAATTCAAATATATAAAAAAAAATTGATTTTACATTAAAGCTGGCAAATCAGTCGGTCCGGTCGCGTTCGGGTCAATTCGGGTTCGAGTTGAGAACTGTATGTTCATGACCTAATGTCATCGGGTTCGGTTCGATCCTACGGGTTATGACTTTGGTTTTTAAAATTTTTAAATTCATATTAACACCTGCATTTCCCATTAAATAAAATTAAAATATCAAAAAATATGTTTGAAGTCTGTTATATTGTTTTATTTTAAATTTTGAAGTTATTTTTAGATGTATTATTAATCAATATAAAGAAGTTAAAATGCATAATTTTTGGAAAAAGTAAGATAGTTATGCAATATCCTTAAAGTTTTGTCCGAAAATCTAATTTTTTTCCGAAAATATAAATTCATAAACTTAAAACAAGTATTAAGAAAAAAATATGATTATAACCTTGTTTTTATTACACGAAATTTAATAGTAGAATGTATATATAATTTGGAAAAATTCTTACATTAGCAGGTCGGTCAGGTTGGATTCAGGTTCGGTCGGGTTTGACCCATTTTTAACGGATCATTTTGTGTTCGATCAACTCCGGGTTCGGTCAACAAATTCTTTGTTCAAAACCCAGTGTTTTCGGGTTGAGTTACGGACCAAAAACAGGTCAGGTCATTTTTTGTCAGGTCTATTTTACATCATTATTTATATAAACTAAATTAAAAGGTACTCTCTAGGTTCATAGTAATGTTCTAATTTTGGATTGCGATATTGACTGAAGTTTTTTTAAATTTAATTTATAAAAAATTAGTGTACAATTAATTAATAAAACTTATACCGTATATATCTAAAGCCTACTTTCACATCTTGTTTGGATACATTTTGAGGGAGAAAAGAAAACAAGGATGGAAAATTGTGATAAGGAAATTACAGTTATTTTCGCTTCTCTTGCTTCGATATAATAGTGGAAGAAAAATAAAAAAGTAAATTCCATAAATGGTCCCTATTTACAGGTGGCTTTTTATATTTAGTACCCAATTCTTAGATATTGCATAAATGATCCTCAATTTTGATAACTATTCTATAACAATTCTTTCAGGAACTATTTTTGAAAAAAGTATTCTCTCATATTTGGCCTATAAGTTTAATTATGGAATAATTTTCCAAAAGTAAAGATTATTTATGAAATATCTTAGAATTGAGGGTTAAATCTAAAAAAATAATTTGTAATTGGGGATCATTTATGGAATTGACTCTAAATAAAAATTTTACCTCTTTTGAGAAAGATCAATAATGAGGAAAAAAATAACTACTACCTCTGTCCCACTCTCTTTGTCCACTTTTAACTTTTGGAACTGTTCATCTAAGGACTTTGACTCATCAAATTCTCTCAATGTGTAAGCCTAAATATAGTCATGTGTGATCTTGTTTGATTTGTCTTAACATATAGATTATTAATATATAATTTCTATAATTTTTTAATATACAAATTACAAGATAAAATGGATTAAAGAAGTGCATTGGATGTTGTGTAAAAATGAAAGTGGACAAATACTCTGGAACGGAGGGAGTAAATTATATGTGATTTTTATCTCTCCTTGTTTTTCTTCACTCTTCCTAACATAATTTTTTTTGCCTGTTTACTTTACATGCAATATTTTCTTTCCTCTCATAAAAGTTATAAAAAATTAAAAATAAGAAAATAATTTTATTTTATCAAATAATTAATAAAAATAAATAAATATGTAAAATTAGACTTGTCCATATTTAAAAGGGGAAAATTTGTTAGGGAGGGATGAGTAATAAATCTGCACATTGGTGTGTTAAAACTTTGGTCTCGTGCACGTGATTCTCTCTCTGCCTAAACATGCGGGCCATAGTCCGCGTTAGATCTAGATAGGGATGGGTATGGGTCGGGTGGGCCCGTTTTAAGAGAACTCATCCACGCGAATCGTGTCCGGTCGGTGAATGTTAAAATTGAATTTCACTCTAACCCGACTTCGCTTAAACGTGCCGGACTGCCGGTTCCACAAGTAAACCGGCTCTACTTCAGGATGGATGCATGAATTAAAATTTTATTTTAAAATATGAATTAGTTTTACAAGTTTTGTTTATATAAATTTTATTTCTATTCGAATTTATTAAAAAAAAAATCTTTTGAAATTGTCTTATCGTGTTGAATGTTTTCCCAAGTTACACAGACATTTATTTATGTGATATGTCAGGATTTGAACTAATTTCATCAAAAAATTAATATCTTATAGCCATTACATATAAATGTAGATTAGTTTTAAACACATTTTGATCTATACACATTAAAATTTCTGTCCAACTAAATATTTTCAATTCTCTGGTTGTACTATAATATTCATTTTTTTATGAAAAATTATATTCCAATCAAGAAAATTTAAGTATACAAAAATAAGCATTAGTAATAAAGATGAAGAAAATATTTCTTTTGAAAAATATGTTTCCTTATGAAAATATTTTCATTCAAAAATTAAATTTTAAAATACTATTGGTAGTGTGATGTAGAGAGATAATATCTCATAACAAATGTTGAATCTTAATAGATTATTTTGTTATATTTCTTGAATTTTATACGTTAATATATAAACATTCTAAAAAAGCAATCTTATTATAAAACTATAAATCCATTCATAAATATATATTTAAGAGAATTGTACTTATAAAGAAATTCCTAATTAATTTTTTCATATACCAATTGTGCGAAAGTTTAAAAGGTTTCATTTTAAGGTGATACACATTTCTTAGTTAATTAAAACATTTATATCTCTATTGAAAAAAAAAATCTACATGTAAATGATGAAATAAAATTAATTATATAATAAAATAAATTTATCAATGTGTATGGAATAAACTTATCAATGAATAGAGAATATATAATTATTAAAAATAATTTAATAAATTTAAGCATACGTTGTCAGTGATGAAATAAATTAAGTTATATTCTGAAATAAATTATTAACCTTCCCATGATTATATTATTAGAAAAATATACCACGTATTTGACAATATATATTTCACAAGTGGTCTTATTTAAGTACACTAGGAATAAGGCAAATTCTATGTTGGACCTATATATGAGCAAAATAAGCATTTTTACTAAATAAATATTTGTTTTTTAAAATAAAAAGAAAAATATTTTTTATGTGAGAAGATCCACAAAAAGATATGCATCCAAGGTTAACCAAAGAAGCACTATACGAATAAATGTTGACCCTAAGCTTGTTCCAAAATTATGTCATTTAAGTTGGCCACATGGGAATTTACTTGTCAAAAATTAATGCCACATTGATATCTTAAAAGGCAAGTTTTTAATTAGATGTTCGAGTCTCAAATATTATATTAACAAGTATTTTGACTCGTGTCATGCACGGGGTGAAATGATTTTTTTATTTTATAATTTTTATTCACACATCATTTTTCCTATATCAAACAAAATAAAACATCAACCCTAAAAGCTAAAATTAATAATGATAAGACACGTAACATTTTTTAATGAAATTTTTACATTATGCATTTAAAATTTAAATGTCAAAGTATTTTACAAATTTAACTATTTCAAAAAATTTGTGGTTCAACATTTTTCGTGATGTTATAAAGATTTTCAAAGACACTTAAAAGAATGACAATGTTTTGTCTTAACTTTATTTATAATCATTATCTTGTATAAAATGATACATATTTCATTCGCTTTAGGTCATGTAAATGTTCTCTATGACTTTGTTTCCCAATACTATAATCATGTTGAAGATAGTTTTCATAATTCTTTAATGATTAAACTTATGCTATTACTCCCTCCGTCCCACTCTTTTTGTCCACTTTCATTTTTGCACATCATCCAATGCACTTCTTTAATCCATTTTATCTTATAATTTGTGTATTAAAAAATTATAAAAATTATATATTAATAATCTACATGTTAAGACAAATCAAACAAGATCACACATGACTATTTTTAGACTTACACATTGAGAAAATTTGATGAGTCAAAGTGCTTAGATTAACAGTTCCAAAAGTCAAAACTGGACAAAAAGAGTGGGACGGAGGTAGTATACAATTAAGATGATTGAACATTGTAAAGTCAAAATGGAAATGATTTAAAGAAATGGAGGGAGTAATTAAAATTAATAATAATTAGTGCTTTTTTCAAAAAAAAGAGTAGTACAACTACAAATTCTTTTAATAATAATAATAATTAAAATCATTATTTATATTAAAAATAATTGGTAGTGGTAATACTCTATTTATAATAATAATTATTACTGCATATTTAGCACTATTTATAATTTATTAGTGCTTTTTTCTAAACATTACAGTAGTAAAATTACTTTTTTAGGGTGTAAAATTACTAATAATTTTTTTATTATAATAATAATAATAGAAAAATAAGAAGAATAAAAAGGGGGTGTGTGGTTTGGGGGTCTGATCAGGCACTTTGTCAAGTATATAGAGAGTTGGTACAGCAAAACTTTGAACTCTATTGGGAGACTTATCCTGATCAAGCATGTGCTCTCCTCCATCCCTCTTCACATCATCTCAGTTCACTCTCTCCCTGTATCCATTGTCAAAACTCTCCATAGAATGATGAGCAACTTCTTCTAGGGCTACAACCTAGGGAAACCTAAATATCATTGGAAAAGCTGGAAAGACATCTGTCTACCTAATATTGAAGGTGGACTTGGGATAAGGGACCTTGGGGATGTGCAAGAGGCCTACTCGATCAAGCTTTGGTGGAACTTTAGATACTCAGATAGCAAGTGGGCAAACTTTATGAGGAATAAGTACGACAACACTAATTTTGAGGAAAAAATTACAGACTCTCCAACTCGAAAAAGGATTTGCAGAATACATTTGAAAGCTGTGGAAATATTGGAAGAAATAATACTCACAGAAAATGAAATGGTAAAGATCACCATTAAACAGGCCTTTAAAAGCTGCAGACCTCACTCTACCATCGCTCTTAGTGACAAATATAACTAGAACAACATGCAAGTACCCAAAGTCAAACTATTCCTGTGGAAAATCAATAACGACATCCTACCCTTCCCAGATAACCTCACCAGGATGTCAGCTAGCTTACCTTCTCAATGTCCTTTCTGTAAAAGAAACAAAGGTTCAGCTAACCACTGCCTACTACACTGTGAAGCAATAAAAGGGATTTGGGACAATTATGCTCATCTTACAGAAGGGTCGAGCTATAGACCTCATATCAGAATCAACCAACACATCCTTGAATGGCACCTCAGATCGGAATTAAAGACGCTAAAGGAAAACCTGAAATTGGTGATTCCAGGGGTCATAACATGTAGCATATGGAAACATTATGCTTCAATAACATTTGGAAATGAAGTTCTAAATATCAAATCCATTGAATCCAACATCAATCAAACTATTAACATGTGGTGTTGGAAAAATCATCAAAAGGGGTGGATGATCTATGACTTCAACCTCCATCAAGCAGGGCTTCAAATGTTTGTACTCGGAGGAAAGAATCTGCAAAACGCCATCAGATGAGAAGTTGGACAACATTGGTGGTTTGCCGTAAGATAGAGGCCACGAAGATGAACATTGTATGCGCAGATCCTCCGTACTAGACTTTTTTATTGTCTTCCCTGCTTCTTTCACAGTTATGTGTGATACAAATATCGTATCAGATAGGGAAGAACTTCGAGCGTCTTCGGGCTCCAAGAAAGGGGAGGCAAAGACAGAAGGAAAACTTCGAGCGTTCCGGGGCTCCAAGAAAAGAGAGACGAGAGATTAAGAGAATTCTTGATTATTGATTGATTGATTGAATAAAAGGATTACATCGCTATTTATAGGAGATAGAAAACTCTAATGCTAACCCTAATTGACCTAATGGGCTCGGGCCCATACTAAAACCCTCAACAACATTAACTATTGAATATTAAATAACTATTGATTAATAAATAATATAACCAACCTACTATCCCTATCATTCCCACCCCCTTAAAAATCCACCTTGTCCTTAAGGTGGAGGCTCCCACTCGTGTTTCTGAATAGGAGATAAACCATTGAACCACAAACAAAGTCCACCTGGTGAGCGTTTGACAAAAAGCATGCCGGTTGAAGTGTAGTAATGAAAATATGAGAGAATTCCAAACTTGTGCAGAACTGCCAGCTTAGGAACTGGACTTTCAGACTTGAAAACATCAACAATGTCAAATAACTTGGGGTTGTCAATCAAAATGGTTGAGCACGCTTTCTTACAATCTCCATTTGCCACTTTGTTAACACTTTCTGGAACATCATTCTCTGCAATGACCACACTAGCTGATGTATAAATTTCCTGAAAAGTAGGATCTGGCGTGTAAACATTAGCAACATCCTCATGCGTAGGATCACCATCAATGACTTCCACGACATTGGGCTTCCCGTCATAGTCATGCATGGGCTCAAACACACTTTTCACTTCATCTCTTACATTTGATTCATCAATTGATCCCTCTAAATCACAAGCATCCTTTATATTAAGAATCGGGTGTGCGATTGCCTCGTTCACCACCTGGGAAAACATGTCTTTGACCCTTGTTGGTGTCTTCTGAATGAAAGCATAATCCACATAATCTAAATCATGAAAGGGAGCAAATCGAATTTTGAATTTCTTGACGAAATCATCCCAACCATCAATTAAACCACCACGCATACGCTAATTAAACCAATCCAAGGCAGGGCCCTCTAACATGGCTGACACATGGTGTAAACGATCAGCTAAAAGGATCCCATAAAATTGAAAATACTCATCTACCATAACTAACCACCGCAAGAGTTCCGTTCCGTCGCATTTATGAGGCAACTCAGGTATGGGCTTTGGTGTACACCTTCTGCCATCAAACGAACCCAAAGTTTCTGTATCATGTAAACCGAGAAGTAGAGCCTCGAGTCGTGAAAAATGGACATCCATTTTGTGTTGGATCTGCCCGAGTGTGTGATGGAGCGAGTGGTTGAGCTTAGCAAAACTAACACTGAGGTCTATGCAATCACCGTCCATTAGTATGGCGGCAATTAAAATGAATTGCAGCAGAAAACCTTATAAGATTTGCGGGTGATATGGAGGTGGAGGTCCAGCTGATATGCAGCCAGAAGCAGCTGCTTTTTCTCTCTGGCTTCAGCTGCAGCAATTGATATTCCTCTGTTGTGGCTTGATTTCTCCAATTCCCGAGTTCTGTCAATTAGATCTCTTTCTTTTCTATTTGCTGTAGATTCTGTCAAGTGGCGATCGATCTGCGTCAGCCACGCAAGTCGAACTGAATGTCGACGGTGAAATTGCACTGACGGCGGCGAAGGAACCGTAGCGGCGGCACAATTTGTAGTTTGTCGGATGGTTCTGGTCGGCTGACAAATCTATGCAATCTTGCGAATTTGAATTGATCTTGGGGTAGATCTCTATTATGCACTTTCAATTGGTAATGATGCACGATCAAACTCCTCCTTCCATTGATGTTTATGTGCGAAGAAACCAAATTGCACCAGATCTGCACTCAATTTTTTTTTTGGTTTTTTTGGGTGTTCGACTCAATGAGAGCACCAATTGATACGAATATCATGTCGGATAGGGAAGAACTTCGAGCGTCTTCGGGCTCCAAGAAAAGGGAGGCAAAGAGAGAAGGAAAATTTCGAGCGTTCCTGGGCTCCAAGAAAAGAGAGACGAGAGATTAAGAGAATTCTTGATTATTGATTGATTGAATAAAAGGATTACATCTCTATTTATAGGAGATAGAAAACTCTAATGCTAACCCTAATTGACCTAATGGGCTCAGGCCCATACTAAAACCCTCAACAACATTAACTATTGAATATTAAATAACTACTAATTAATAAATAATATAACCAACCTACTATCCCTATCAATGTGTGTATTTTTACTTTTGTCTTTCGGGGCTTTGGTCTTGTCCTCCTCGAACTTGTAATTCCCATTTACTTTCGGGGCTTTGGTTTAGTCTTCCCCAAACGTGTACTTTATTAATTTTTATGTAATAAATTTGGTAATATATATATATATATATATATATATATATATATATATATATATAAACACACACATATATATAATCTAGGTTTACTAAATTATTACAAATATATAATTCTTTTCACCCCTTAATTCAAAAAATATAAGACAAAAACATTGGTGATTTTATTATTCTTCTCCCCCGCATTTATTTAACAAACTTAGATTTTCAATCCTGTAATTTTAATATTAAAAAATCATGATTCTTCTCTGCCAAATTAATTTACATTAACGGAGATATATGATTTTAATTTCTATGACGCATTAATGTGATTCTTCCTCTCCTTGGCTCTTTGCACTGATTAAAAATTGACTCCTTTTTCTTGTACTATTAAAAGTATTAAAACATAAATTAACAATCAAGTGATATGAAATATAAATTTTACAATACATTAAAAATATAATGATTATTCTACCTTGTATTATTTCAAAATTTATGTGAATGCAAATAAACATTAGCGATTCTATGATTTTAATGAAAATTTTACAAAAACTATTTCACAATTTTTACTCATTTTTTTGCTTTCTTTTTTAAATATAAATCATTTAAGTGTGTGAAAGTATTTTAGTCAATACATAATGTTTTTATAAAACACAAAAAGTTACAATTTAAAAATTATATTTCTCTTTGATGTGTTAGGTGACCCTAAATCTTATTCACTACCGCACATTAGATCTTCTTCGTACTTCTCCTTAAATTATTAATTATACTTGCATCTAAATTTTAATTTTCACAGATCTTCACGCGTTTCCCGGTCTCCAGATCTTAATTTTCCTTATAGATTTTTTTGTGTGAACGTCCATGTTATATCGCTTCATCTCTAAAAATATCATTTTGTTGAATTTCTTTGTATGATTGCGAAAATGAAGAAAAGAAAATTGAGTCATACTTCATCCGTATTTTTTTATTTTCATGCATCAATATATTGAATTATAACCTTATAGTGTAAACTTTCTTTGATTAAAATAATAGGTCAAATTAGCAAGATAAAGTACAAAAGTCAAATTAAATATTCCTCCTAAGTAATTTGGTTTAAACACTTGATCATTTAAAAAAATAATTGAGTCATATCTTAATATATAGAATTTTAATATAGGGATTAAGAAGTATTTGTTATTTTACATCAATATTTAAATAAATAGAATAAAACTAACTTCCCTTAATCATAACATAAAGAAATATGAAATTTTTTAAGAGATGAAGAGAGTATAATAGTTTATATATTCATTTAAAGTATTATTATAAATGAAATGAAAAAAATAATTATATCAAACCATGAAATTAATATAATCAAATTACGAAATAATATCTAATAGAGTATATTTTACCTACATTAATAATTTATTGTCTAATATTCTCATGTTTTATAAATTTTCATTGTAGTTTTAAAATAAGTTTTTTGTTTATTAACTTGCATGAGTATTTTAATAAATATAATCCAACTGACTGCTTCGATTTAAATATATCATAAAAAATATGAAATTTATTTAGAAGTGAAGAAATATCTTATTAATTACTTAGGGCCAATTTGGTTAATTTTGGATGAAAACTGAGAGAAATGATATGGATTTTATAATCTGAAATGATTTTATTTAGAGAGATTTAAATTCAAGATTTAATTAATGATAAGCAAGGGTGACTGACAATAGGAGTAGTTGGCAGTGACAATGGTAGCGAGTGACGAAGAATGATCAACAATTGAGAGAGATATCAAACCCCCATATTGATATCTCCCAAATTCGGGAGATATTAAGACAATCCATTTTAAAGATTTATGATATCAGAAAATATTAAATTTGATAACTTTTTTGGCTTCACCAAACACCATAAAAGGAATAGGATATCTAGAGATATCAAAACTCATATTTTTTTTGCACATCAAACTCACCTTTAGAAGTTTTGTAATAATTCAATAGAAAAATATGCATAATTAGGAAATAATTTATTATAAAAATGAATATCTATTCTTTTCCATAATTAATTGTACCGAATGACTTCATACCATAGTATTAACTTCTTATTATAGTATTAACTTCTTACGTGTCAGAAATGTCTCGTAAACAACATCACATCTTAGCTTTTTATAGATTAAAATATCAATTTTATAAATAAAGGATCAATTATAAACATATTTGTTCCTTTCCAATAAGAATACTTTTAAAAAAAATATATCATTATCAAAATTTGTTTTTTGTGTATGAACTTAGTTAAAAAATTGATTCATAAAAAATGCTAGTCTAGAAATGGTCAGTGATCATACCAATTTTATATTTTCACTAATTTTTTGCTACATCATAATAAGTTTTATCATAAAATTATATTTTATATAATTGTTTTCCTTTAATAATTTTATTTCGGACAATATTATATTTATCTTTCACAAATTTGATTTTATATCATAATTAATTTTATCACAGCATAACAAATAAATAAATGAATTGCTTTTTAAAAATAAAAAATATAAATACTCAACTAATGTCACGAAGTAATGAATTATTTATTTGTCTTAAATCTTTTTACGTAAAATTTTTCCAAAATTTGAAATCATTATTAAATTTCTATTTTAAAATAAAAAGAAAGGTCAATTCATCATTCATAAAATTTGCCACATAAGCAAGCAATAAAGGCTTGCCATCTCACCTTAATATAGCCCACACAAGCTTGACACTTGGCGACTTTCTAGCAAACGGAGTCTCAAATATTATATTAAAGGATTTCGAACAATATTATATTTATCTTTCACAAATTTGATTTTATAACATAATTAATTTTATCACATCATAACAAATAAATAAATGAATTGCTTTTTAAAAATAAAAAATATAAATACTCAAATAATGTCACGAAGTAATAAATTCTTTATTTGTCCTAAATCTTTTTACGTGAATTTTTTCCAAAATTTAAAATCATTATTAAATTTCTATTTTAAAATAAAAAGAGAGGTCGATTCATCATTAATAAAATTTGCCACATAAGCAACCAATAAAGGCTTGCCATCTTACTTTAATATTGCCCACATAAGCTTGACACTTGGCGACTTTCTAGCAAACAGAGTCTCAAATATTATATTAAAATTTAAAGGACTAGAGGTACCCGATAATCATTATTTCAAAATAGAGATCACCTAGCATAGGCAAATTATATGGTACATCTAGTTGTACCTTCCTTTAAGTACAACCTGGTATTTTTGTAAATTTTGCAAATTTTTTATCCAATGCCCAGAACATATATGAGAACTATTATATATGACAATGAGTATTATGTATTTCGAAATGAATATTTATATTTGTACGAGAATGAGTACTTATAGATCCGAATATACCTTATACAACTACTCCCTAGCATAGCAGCAATTTTTTGTTTTTTTATGAACGGGTTGAATTACTTTGAATAAAGGGAGAGAGAGAGTATCTTCGAGACCTAACCTAGCAGACTCTAGCGCATTGCGCCTAACTCTATCGACCAAGTCATCTCCTTCATTCCTTCTCTGTTTGCGTCTTATAGCGCACACATTCTACTCCCTCTATCTGTAAGTTTGGTTTCAACTGTTAAATTTCAATCGCTTAAACCCTAATTGTATTTAATTGTTTCGTTTAAAATGGTTATATGATTTCGCAGTTTTATTTTTGTATCCTTGTAATCTCTGTAACTGGACTTGTCAATTTTTTTTAGTTCTGCTAGAACTTCAAACCCTAATTTTATCAAGTTTGATTGAAACCTCTTTTTATTTTCCGCTTTTTTTATGGTTTTATTCCGAAGTACGGAGTATATTGCAAATTGGTGTAAATGTGTCTTTGATTAAAAAATAGTGTAAGTGTAAAGTCTTGTGCTTTTGCAAGAATTATATAAATTTATATAGCTCAACTAGGTTATATGCTGAACTTATAATAAGTTGAAAAAACCAGACTAACAGTTATTGTTTATCAACTTATATATGAAGTTTCTGTTTATGTTTCTGCGTTATGTTTAAAACATGTTTGATTGAAAGTTGGAAATCTGGATTTATTTATTTATTTTTGCATCGCTTTTTTACAATTGCAGAATTTGTTAGGCATCTAGCTTAATGATTTGGAGTTCATATGCGCTGATTAATATCTTATCGTGTGTTTTCCTTAAAAATATCTATTTAAACAAAGTATACTTTTTAATTTGTAATTTGCAAAATTATAATTTGATATAACTCAAAGTGTCACATTTAACATGTTGGAGACGTCTTTTGCAGCATACATATAAATTTGGGTTTTTTTTTGCAAAAGATGCATATTCAATTCCTTGGAGACCAATTGTTTAGAAAGATTTGACTTTGTTCAATTTTTTTCTTGATCCACTCACAAACGCGCTTAAATATATACATTAACGTTTTTGAATGGCTATCACAATATATCAATTATATAAGCATTAATTTGTTTCGTTTTAACCCCTCTGTTCAATTATACCAATCTCATTTCTGTTTACGATGCATGCTTGAAGTTATTTTTTCATTTCAATTATTGAAATATTGGCACAAAATTTATATAATATTGGTACAAAATTTAAAAATAATATATATATATATATGTGTGTGTGTGTGTGTATGTAAAGTAAATACTACATCCGAAGCTCTAAAAAATAAGCGATGACTTAACTATGTTATTGGATCAAATGATTACCAAAAATACCTAAGGAAATAAGTTATGGTTTGACCATGTTAATAGCCAACAAGATTGTGCTCCCACATTTTCACTTATATGTAAAGATGTAATTATTATTTTTAAAAAAAATTAGTTATGATTTAAGCCGTAGACTGCAGTCCCACATTTTCAGACTTGGCCATAGTTTTCATTTACTAGGTTCGCTTTGTCTCTCGCACAAACATCTTGAATATGTTGAGGAGGAACATAAGGTTGAGGAGAGAGTACCTTTACAGGAAGAGTCTGGAAGGAAAAGAGCGTTTGCTTTATGAGAAGAAACGCAAAATTAGAGAAGCTCTTGAAGGTCCGGTTCGATTATTTCATGACTATATTTCAAAATTCTCACTAGAGCTAAAAGTTGTAGCATATTATTTTGATTTATTATAATTATAATTATTTTTTTTAACTACTACTACTATTACTGTTATTATTACTATTATGTGTGTGTGTGAGTACATCCTCAATGGTTTCTTTTGGTGGGCAGAGGGAAAGCCAATCCCAACTGAACTCAGAAACGAAGAAGCAGCTCTTCGTCAACAAATCGACCTTGAAGATGAACACACAGCTGGTATGTTTCACAGGTTTCATGTATTTGAAACTGGTTTTCGGCTCAAAGCAAAAATGACTTTTCTGCTTATTAAACTGAAAGCTACAAGAGGTTTTTTTTGGCATGCTTGTAATGTAAAAAAAATGGAAATGATTTATTTCTTTGAGTTGAGATTATGAGTGTTGTGCGTTGGAAACTTGGAATTCAAATTGAAGGTTTGAAATTCGATAAAATTTCATTTGAGGTTAGGTTTTGGGTTGGATTGGAAGAATTGATGTGCTTACTTCAATGTAGCTATCTATGATCCAGTCATATGAATTTGAATATGAGTTAATGCTTTCTATTATCATTTACAATTTGGCATGTAGTGCCTAGGTCTACTATTGACGATGAATATGCACATGCTGCTGAAAAGGATCCCAAGATTTTGATTACTACTTCTCTCAACCCAAGTGATCCTCTAACTCGATTTGTCAAGGTTCTTCCTTTCTGATGTTTGTCCATTCTTTTTCTTGAATAAAAGCATAGTCCAAGTTCATTTTCTTCTTTTTTGGGGCATCATCATGCACTCATGCCATTATCCATTCAGAGCAATTATTTGCATTCTATGACTTATCTACTATCTCTGGTCCTTATGATAGGAATTAAAGATTGTATTCCCTAATGCGATACGAATGAATCGTGGCAGTCAGGTTGGTGGACCTTTCAGTTATATTTCTCACATGTACTGTATTTTCTTGTTCAGTTGTAGATTACATTAAAGAGGGAAGCTCCTTGAACTTAAATTTGAATACTTCAGTTTTCATCATTATTAATATAGGGTCAAGCTGAAATTCATGGTGTAGTTAACTTTTATATGAAACTAATACTAATGGATGGGCTTTGTTCGTGCTGTGTACTCTTATTCTATCTTTCAGTAGGGTATATGTACTGTATACATTTGATAAATATATTTGTTTTTGCATGACTGAAGTTCTTCTCTATTTGTGTTATTCTCTATGTCAATGATTTACTCACTTTCATTTTTCTATTATAGAACTAATTATAGGCCGACCTCAAATAGATTATCCCAGGAGACATACCTTGTTGACTTTGTTCTTCATGCAGGGAATACCGGAAATCATTGAAACTTGCCGTAGTCATGACTTTACGGATGTGGTTTTAGTTCATGAGTTTCGAGGAGTTCCTGATGGAATTATCATCAGTCATTTACCTTTCGGTCCAACTGCCCACTTTAGATTACTCAATGTGGTGAGTTGTCTTAGTCTTGAAACCATTTTTGAACTCGTACTCTTATTTTTTTTCTGAAGTGGTGAAGATCAGTTATGTGTAAAAGTCGCTTTGATGTTTTACTTGGATGTAGGTAACAAGACATGATATTAAGGACAAAAAGGCTATGGGAACAATGCCTGAGGCTTACCCTCATCTGATATTTGACAACTTCTCTACTAAGGTAATGAGTTTAAAAGTAAGCTTCACCTTAAGTCCTTCAATTATAATGCATTTCTACTTTTGCTTCTTGGCTTTGATTTTTCTCATCTTTAGTATTTAACATTCATGAACTTCTTTACCTTTAGTCCATTTTTTTATAATGTTTCATCCAATTATATTTTGACACTCCTTCCATGGTTCAGCAGCAAATAAGATTATGGGTTTTACCTTTCTGTTTATTAAGAACTAGAAGTTGAACTTGTGTGGTTGAGAATTTGAGATTTATGCAAAGGTTAGAGAAATACTACGAATAACACAAGTCTTTTCCTAAAGCGAATCATGAATCTTATTTTGCAAAGGACGAAGAAGAAATCAAAGTACCTTTTTTGGGACAGAGGTAGTATCGTGCATCTTGGACTAAATTGTTCACCGACAACAACCTACCTAGTAAAGTCCCACAGTGTGTGCGAGGTGGTTTACACATACCTTACTCTTACCTAGAAAAGGTAAAGCATTTATTTCCCAAAGGTCCCCAACTCAAGCATTAAATACTACATCTTCTATCCCAAAATTAGGTGCTTGATTCGGTTTACGATGATCGGTTGAAGTTATTCTTAATTCCATTTATTAGAAAATCGGTGTAAAAACAAAATAAAATTTATAAAATTAAAATTACATCAAAGGTTCTACAAAACAATACGTAACTATGAAAGACCTTGTGGTCGAGCGGCATAGTAACTGTGGCTCTCCAAAATGAAAAGTCATAGGTTTGAACCTCGGCATTGATTCTTTGTGCTTGAGTAGGTTGAGTAAGTATGTATGGACATTTACTATATTGTAATAGAGTTAATAGTTAAGAAAAACAATATGTGACTTAGACTGTTTTATTTTATCAAATAATCAACGAAAATATATGCATGGAAAGATAATATGATTTGACCCGGTGAATACTAATGTGAAACCTTGTTTTAGGACAGATGGAGTAAATTTTTTGCAAACACTATCTAATTTTTTGTTTTCATTTTAATTTTGTGAGCTATGTTCTCCAAAAATATAACTAGAGAACATGTCTTTCATTTTTCATTACCATTTTCATACATTTCCCATCACAAAATAAAATATTTGTTAGTAATTCAATTACTCAGAAGCTTAATTGGCCGCCTTGCCCCTTTTCAATCCCCCACAAGAGTTCAAAGCCCCACCCTAGCAAAAAATACATCATTCTAGTATAAATATATCCTTCCAAATTCCCAGTTCAAACCCATTTACCTCAATCATGATCTTCCTTATTTATTGTGTAACACAAGGCTTACAGTAATCTTGGAGCTATAGAGAACAACATAAGCAGCTAAGGCATTGCTCTTTTCAACTTTTTATTCTAGCTATCCAGACTCTATGCCAGTTTGAGTTACTAGATTCCAGTTACCAGTTTCCACTTATCAGTTTCTAGTTAAAATTTTGTTTAGATTTATAGTATATTGAATCTAGGTGCCAGTTACCAGTTTTCAGAATCTAATCTCTAGATTCCATACCCTAGTCACCGAAGTACAAATTTTAGTTAGCAGACTATAAAAACTGGACTCCAGGTCTCCAGTTAAAATTAAGGCAAAAAATAGGCCCCTAATCATGCAAAGGCATAAAAGCCAATCCCAACCGTATTTCCACTTTTGACTCACTTTTCAAATCATTGAAATTATTAATCTTGCTAGTTTGAAACCTCTAGGCTCCTGTGCTTGTCTCCACACCTCCAGCCAATAAACCATTATGTCCCTCGTGAGTCTCATCAATCAGAACACTGTTGTCCACATAAAGCTTGCACCGAGGTATGCCCCTTTGAATATGTCTCGTCAAAACATCCACCGTTAAGGCAAACAGCATGAGACTAAGGGTAGACCTCTGATGTAGTCTCATCTCAATCCGGAAGTGATCCGAGTGACCGTGGTCCTTGTCCCATGAATTCCATGATACATGTCCTTAACACTCGAATGGGGGCAATTGGCACCCACTGTACTCGATGCATCTCCATATCATTTCCTTAGAGACTCATCATATGCCTCCTCCAAGTTTATCAACACCATGTGGAGGTCCTATCTATTTACAGCTCCATCAGCCTCATTGGGGATGAATGACATCAATGGTTGACTGACCTGGCATGAATCCAAATTGAGTTTTGATAATGCTCACCTCTTTCCTCAACCTCGTCTCTATGACTCACTCCCAAGCCTTCATAATGTGAATCTGTGATAGAGTAATTTGATGCATCTATAGTTGCAGTTCTGTATATTGCCCTTGGCCTTATACAAAAGGACCATCTTGCTCTCCCTCCATTCTTTAGGCATTTTAGCTGTCTTGCAAATAGCATTTAACAACTTGGTGATCCACACCAACCCATCATTGCCACAATGTTTTAAAACTCTGAGACATAGTCATAGAATTTGCTGCTACAGCCGCGTCTTCTGTATTGGTACGTGACATACCCAATCACAATTCGCTTGCGATCTGAATGTCGGCCATACGGCGTACCAAAACGCAATCCGGATCTGTACAGTTCCACAGTTGAAACTAGGGTTACCGATTCAATCTTACTATCGCCGCAATTCAGATCGCGAGAGAGATCAGGAACAGAGATAGTCCGGATCGGCGGCGGAGATGGCGATCAACGGAAACGATTTCAGGAAAAGAAACGAAGCAACCCTATTTTGACGGAAGCCACTGTCTACTTCTGCTTTTAATAAAAAGCACAATACCTTCTCTTTTCTCTTTTGGGCTCAAATTTTTATTGGGCTTAACTTGCTTCTAATTTCTTTTTTACCATATTTTTTCTGCTAACCTTTTTTTTACAGTTATCTATTGATATTCAGAAGTTTTTTAAATTTATGTTTTGACTTTTGGTACACCGAACCGAATACATGGTACACTGTACCGCTTCGTACTGAAACGAGCCTACCCCCATTCGTACCGAATTCGTCATCTCTAGCAAATTTTGTACCCGAACCGGAACGTACCGCGATTTAGGTGACTATGCTTTGGGATCTCATCTGAACCAAAAACTCTTCTTCCTTTCATCTTGCTATCTGCTTCCACCAACTTCTTCCTTCCAATGTGTTGACATTACATGAAATTTCTAAGACTCTCAGCTTGCCCAGCTCACCTAGCAGCGCATTTTCTTCCTCTCCAACATTTAGAAGTCAATAACAATGGTCATTGATTGCAAATTCAAGGGAAACAGTCTCCCATTTTCCTTTTTCGAGAAATGTTAGTAAAATATACATACTCCCTCAGTCCTATAAAAAGAGATTGTCTCATAAAAAGTGTCAAATGTTAACTTGGATTATATCAAATGATTTAATAAAAAAATATATGCCAAAAAAGTTAAATTATATTTGATGATTTCTATGATTTGTACCTTACCAAAAATAAAAAGTTGTACATATAAGAAATATGACCCTTTTTATGGCACAGAGGGGATACGATTCGTTTTTTATTTTCCAGTATTTCATATAGTAAACACACCCAAATCATTTTTGGAAGTCAACAACTTAGTTAGATTCCACAAATGGGAAGCATTTTCGAAAGTCAAAGACTTATAACAAAGAAATAAATATTAAGGACCAAAATATTAAAACACACTAGTTGAAAGATGAATTGTAGAATTTGAACTACTTTAAGGCTTGTCTAGCATCAATCCAAGCTACCAATGCAAAAAAACAAAATGGTATCTTTGACCATATTTTCTTTTTTCTTCATTTATGCTGAAACTCTTGACACTTTAACACTGTTCAGTTTGCTCCTTTTCTGTAGATTGTTTTTCCCTTTATGTGATTGCATCTATCTTTGACTGTTGTAGCTTGGTGAAAGAACTGTAAATATTCTAAAGCATCTGTTTCCAGTTCCAAAGCCCGACACGAAACGTATTATCACATTTGCTAATCAGTCTGATTTTATCTCATTCAGGTGTGTTATATACTTTCTTAATTTCATTAGCCATTGGTTTTTGGTATATATTCTGAAATGTCTCAGACTGCATTTCAGATAGTGGCTTGTTAAACTTAATATAGACCTTTAGTAATTGCTTCCCTAGTTAATAGAAGTAGGGCTGACAAGCAGGTTGGTTATGTCTGGTTCATTATTTTCGGGATTGGTGTACTTCAGGTTTGGGTCAATCAGGTTGCATGTTCGTGGTCCAATTTCATTGGGTTTGGGTTGACCCAATGGATTATGAAGTTTTTTTAGAACATTTAAATGTATTCTAACATTTTTATTTTGCATAAAATGTAATTAAAATAGTGAAATGTGTCAACCAAAGCTATTACTCCCTCTGTCCCAAATTTTTTACACTTTGACTTTTTTGGTCAACATGCTACACACTACCATTAATAAATATAATTTTACATAAGTAAATGTTATAAAAATTTGATATATTAAAACTACATCTTAAAATGAATCCGATGATAACAAATATATATTATAATTAAATATACTTTTTCCACAATTTGTGGTCAAATTGTGTAAGAGTTTGACCCAAAAAAAGACAAACTGTAAGGATTTTTTTGGGACAGTGGAAGTACAATATTTTTGCATTCTTGATTAATTTTTAGTTATATACTTATATGCTGTGATATTATAAATACAACAAAAAATAGATATGTATAATTTTTTTTTAAAAGTAAAATAACAATATAATATCAATAAAAACTTGTCAGAAAAGGTTTGTTTATATCATAAAAGGAGTAAAAGGAAAATAGTACTCCCTTCGTCTTAAAAAGGTCTTTACGTTTACTATTCATATGTCAAAATAATGTAATCATGTCACCTATTGTTTTATAGTCCTCTGTCCCACTATTTTTGTCTCATTCAGATGTTGGTTTTAAGTATGTATGCTTTTTTTTTTTAATTTTGCACCAATTTTTATATAAATTCCATAAAAAAATAGTTTCAATAAAACATGGTAGACCAAAAAAGGGACAAATAATGCAAGATAGAGGGAGTAGATATTTTGTAGTTTTTTAATATATAAATTCTATTTTATTTTTACACCAATTTTGAAATAAATTGACAACAACAACATTACCCCAGTGCCTCAAAGGCTCCCCCGCCCATTGCGGGGTAAGGGGGGTTGGATGTACGTTGCCTGACCCTATGTTTAGAACATAGAGCGACTTTTTCCAGATGACCCATGATGCGCGTCAAAAGGACATTGACTATTTGCTACTTCACTATTGAAAGAAGAACATAGAGCCATTTTGCTTTATTCCATCATACCCCAAAGCCAAAAAAACAGTGAATCTTTGGCTCCAACAGAGATGATGGAAAAAAATTGAATTGGAAAAAAGTTAATTCTAGCATTGTAAAATGCAACGTAAAGTTATTTTTGGGACAGAGGGATTAATATTATAACATGATTTTTATCACTTTAATTGAGTACTTGATTTTGAAAAAACCTTGCCTCAGTGGATCAACCTAGTCGGATTCTGGTTCGGTTTGGTTTGACTCATTTTAGAAGGTTATTTTTGTGTTTGATGCTCTTTAGGTTCAATTAACAAAATATTTGTTCAAAAAAATGTTTTCCGGTCGGGCATTGGGTCGAAAAGAGATTGGGTTATTTTTTGCAAGGTCTAAATAAAACCAATATTAGATCCATTACCATGACACATGATGCATATGTAGGGTGAGTGGTATGGTTAAAGAATATTTCTTAGAAGAACAATAAAATATCATATGAAAGAAATATAGCTTTCATTTTTTGTGTGGGGTTTAAGCCGAGTTGTCAACATGTATTGACAAATCATTGAGATAATATTTATAGAGTCTAAATATGGCCTTATATAAGCTTCATTTTTTCAGCGGTTTCTCCAATACTTCGTTCCAAAATGCAATTCTCACTCACGAGGTCAAATTGTATCTTATTTTCTTATATTTTTTTCATTGATGATTTGATTTAGTAACATAGTCAAGTCACCTCTAATTATGTAGAATACATGATCTTGTTTTGTAGATTATAAATTTATTTTGGATTGTACACCAATTTTCAAATAGTTCGAAATTTCGAATTAGAAATGACTTCATTCAAACATCTAACCCGTAACAAGAATATTAGTTTTGGATGGAGGAAGATCTAGTATGACATTATATCATGAATGGAAGTCCCATCTTGAGAAAATCTCCAAGGCATAAACTATAATGGTTGGTAGCTTCTTGTCTTTATTGGGTACTGAACTATGCCAGAAAATTGCAGACACCATATCTATGAGAAACGGGGAGGTCCCAAATCAATTGAACTGAAAGAGCTTGGCCCTCGATTTGAACTTCAGCTTCATAAGGTAACTATTACTCCGTATAATATTGAAATTTTAAAAAAAAACCAATCTGATAAAAGTAGTGCTTTTAAAAGGTTGTAATTTTATTTTCAAACTTGTATTTGAGAATTTGGTGTGCCAAACAAGGATCTTTGTTTACATGAATGGGGATAGCTCCAAACACACACACACACACCGAGAGAGAGAGAGGGGGAGGTGTGTATGTCTGCACTCAATGGCCCATGCGTCCCCTAATTAGGATCGCGGGTCTTGACTTCAGGGAGTTTAGGAAAAGTGTTGAAAAGTGAAAAGTGTCGTTGAACTTTGTTTCAAAGTGAGAATTGCTAAGGGTCACATATTCCATCCTAAAAAGGGAAAGTAAAGTACATATTTGATTTTGAGATGGACAAATGCGGCTAAGGAAAGTCTTAGCCCCTAGGCAGGGTGACGGGTATTGACGGAGATTATTGAACAAAGCTGCACAGCATATTGTTTTGCTATGTGTGACTTTTCTATCATGCACTCATTGTGGTGTTCATTCTCCCCCTCCCCCCTTACAGATCCAGCTAGGAACTGTGGATCAACAAGAAGCTCAAACCGAATGGGTCATGAGACCATATATGAACACCTCCAAGAAAAGGAACCTTCTTGGGCAGTGACAGTTCTGTTTCATTCTTTTCATGAGTTTGGCCATACAAGAGTTTTGCTTGTAAAGAGAGCAACTTGGTACCATGAGGTTTGTGTTTGTGCTGTTATACTTTAAAAGGATTTGGTCTCTGGGTTACTTTCAAGAGGGTATCAGTTCGCTATGAGACAACCAGTTGGTCATTAATCTCGATTGCTACTTAGTTTCAGACTTATCCATTGCCCCGTGTAAAAGTTTGGATTTTCCGAGGGGAATTTGGGGAGTTGGAAATTCTAGTCTTACATAATTATATGCCATTTCACTTTTATTGTTGCACACTTATTTTGTGTGTTTGTGTTTTGTTTTTGTCTTATTTTTCTTAATTTCCCTTCTGGAAAGAATAGTTAGTCTTGGTCCTCTTGGAGAATGGGCATTCTCCTCTTTGTGGAAGCAGTCTTCACCCTCTTACCCCACACAATTACACCATCTTGTGACTTTCTGGTAGTGCTCTTTCGTATGTCAAAACTTGCCAGTGATGCATATTGCATTGCTTAAAGAATGTGATTTGGTCTTCTAAATTTGTAGAAAGCATACCGACTCTAGGTTTTGAATCATCCGGACATGGTTGAATGAAACCTTCGTCACAGCCGAGATGGTGTTTAGTCTACGCTGATGACTTTATTTTTGGTAATTTTAGTGACTTCTTTAGAGTTTCCTTTTCCCGTTGGGCATATGTCAAGCGATTTGATTGTGAAGTTAGATTAGTGTCTTAGCGTACAGTACAAAAAAACAAAGGACTGGAAATCTTTTCTGTGATCCCGTAAGTATATTTTAACGAGTGATCCTCAAGTTTGGTTTGGATCCCGTAAGTACATTTTAACCTCATATAACTGAATTGGTCACATATGTATATTTTAGTGTTCTTCTATATATTCTCAACATTAATTATTTAAATTGGTATATCTTAGAGTTCTTCTAGATACCCTTAACAATACACATAATTTTCATAATCATCAATATATTCGTTTTTAGTCATTATTCAATCATTCAAAATTATTATTTTAATTAGATTATTCATTCGATCATAAATAACATCAATAATAATCATCATAATATCCAATAACAAATAGTGGTCTAGTGTCGAGCGTTAACACCCTAGCTTACTGTCATACATCGCACAAGGCTCTTGGATGATCAAAATATCATTTTTATTTCCAGAAATTATTTTTATATTGATCATAATTGATTGATATCAAAAATAGAATTTAATAGTTTAAAAATCAGGTTTTTGGGAAAATATTGGTTTTGGATGGTACCCGGTACGGTACCTTGATACTGTGTCACGGTACCTTGGTACCGACTGCCGTAACCAGCCACCGTCAAGGAAGCAACCGACGGTAGGAGACAACCATTGCCACGGTACGTAGGAGGCTACCGTGCCAGTGGTACCTAGGTACCGTCCAGGCGGTAGCGTGATACCGTTCTGCGTGTTAATTTTTAACAGTGTCATCTTCAACTTCGGACTAATTTTTAGGAATACCATTTTTAGTCACCAAACTTCAATTAAACTACGTAGAAATATTTTCCAAGGTTCATAGATCATTTTGGTATCATTAATTTGTAGTTTTAACAACAATTTCAAGATTTATGATTCTTGATTCTTTAAATGTGTCAAACACAAAACTCAAACAAACAACTATTTATGAACGTAGAAACGATCTATACCAACATTTTGATCACTAGATCTATCTACGGGCTTACCTCAGAGCTTAACGATGATTTTGGCGATTGAATGGCAAAACTTCCGGCGAAAACCACGGCTTGCTCTGACGACAGGAAGCTTTCTGAACAGCATTACTTTGCTCTCTATACTCACAATTCTCTAAAGAAGGAAGAATGGCGAAGGTTTGGGAAGCTTATATAGTGGAAGGGAGAGGAAGAAGACATAGGAGCTGTCTCTGTACTCTGTTCGTTCGGTGTTAGTGGAGGGGGCAGCGATCTCTTCTGATTTCAAACGCAAGTCTCTGATTGTGACTAATTTCAGTCCCAGTCGGGATACACTTTTTGGTCCAATTTTCTCTGAATTAAAATACGATTATACCATTGTCACTAGACAGTCAAACACTACTACACAATGATATAATTTTTGTTATTTATTGATAGACTTTATAAATTACTTATTTTTGAGTCCTTCTCAGTAAATAATTAATTATTAACTAATTAATTTTGATAGGCTTATTTTTGGGGCATTACAGTGGGCCCACGACTGGACACCCTATTACACTTGCCTGTCAGATTAGTTGTAGCCGGCTAGCCGCCTTATTGTCATCCATCGTTTGTAGCCACCCTATCTTGTAATCCTATTGTTGGCGCCGTTGGTCGAACAACTTGACCTTGATGGGCCCAGCCCGTTAGGCCATAAACAAACGTTTGGGAAGCCCAATTGTGTATTGTATAAATACCCCCATCGGGAGGGGAGATACACGTTCACTTGAACTATCAAGCTACTATACTTTTCTCTACTCTTATAACCTAACGCACTCAGTACTCGTTCGATACTCCTCTACCTAGTCTCCTAGATCTCGGGTTCTAAAACCCATCACAATGTTTTTTTATCTAAATATGTAAATTACTCGTATCAATTTTTAATGTTAATATAGTTCTTTATTAGGATTAGTTATTGGTGTTTATATTCTTAGTTTTTAAAGTTTATAATATGGTTTAAAATGTTTAATTAATAATTAAGAAAATAACTTTAATCGACTAGTCAATTATTTTTATTTATATTTCTATGATTTTTTACATATTATATATACTCTTATAAATAAGAGAGCGTTTAATTATTTTTAATTATATTTCCATGACACCAAGTATTTATACACCTATTGGTTTGAAATACCTACTGTGCCTCGTTTATAAAAATGACGGTTCCTACTCCTCCTAATCCTTCCCTTAGACGCCCACCCTAGCCACCCATCCCGCCACCCTCCCTACCCTGGCAGTATACTACCGGGGAGTATATATACTGCCATGGTAGGGAGGGGGTGAGAGGGAGGGCTTAGTGGGTGGCAAATGTGGGGTTGAGGTGGGGGTTTAGACGAAGGATTAAGAGGGGTAGGAACTATCATTTTTACAAACGGGAGACCTTTGGTACTCCACACTAATTGGTGTAAGCAAATGACACTAATAGCACTAGTGTCATTTTATACTTACTCTATAAATAAAGTGAAGTACCTAAGAAAGTTCGGTTTATTTGATTCTGTTCGGTTTTCCAAAGTAAGAACTAAAATGGAAACCAAAGAATAACGGTTTGGTTGTTTTACATTCGGCTTTAGTTTTTTTCTAGTTCGTTTCAATCAGTTTTGGTACGAATTGCAGTTTATGGGTTTCCAAACCCAGCCCTAGACAAAATAGTATGCATTTTTTCTAATGTAGAAAAAGTGGGGGAAAAGACTAAAATAGTACTCCCTCCGTCCCCCATAGATCTTCTCAATAGCCCTTTTTCTTTGTCCACAATAGATCTTCTTATTTCATTTTTAACAATTAAAATACCATAACTACCCCCACTTACTTTATTTATTATACCTCACCCACCTCATTTAATACACTCCACCCATATTTCATTAAAGGTATTATGGTAAACTTTCACTTTTTTCAACTCTCCTTAAAAACCACCAAAAGTCAAAATGAGAACATCTTAGGGGGACGGAGAGAGTAGTAAAATATTGAAAATTTACCAACATAGGAGTTTTATGTTTTTTATTCTCGAAATAAGAGTTAAAATATATTTAAAGTGAAAATCATAATCATGTACATTACTAAAAAGTACAATTAATTATACATATACAATATCACATTATAACTCATATTTTGGAGACTACATGGAGCTAGGGGTGGACACGGTACCGTTACGGTACCGTCACCGGCAACGGTACCGCCGCCGGTACCCGCCACCGTCACCGGCAAGGTTGCCGTGTCACCGGTTCCGGGAACCGGTACCGGTACCGCCACTTTCGGTACCGGTTCCGGTACCTATTTTTTGGTACCGGTACCGGCGGTACCGGTATAATTTTTTTTTTTTTTTTTTGATTTGAAATGCAAAAAAGTTAAAAAAAAAAGGCGGGGGGCGAAACAATTGCATTCTTTCCTTAAACAATTGCAATTTTACAATTGCAATTTTTTATAATTTAAAAATTAAAAAAAAAATGGGGGGGGGCAAAACCGGACGGTCCGGTACCGGAACCGCCGGTCCGGGAACCGGAACCGGAACCGGTACCGGCCGGCACGGTATACTATCCAGTTACTCGGGGTGGCGGTACCGGAACCGGAACCGTACCGTGTCCACCCCTACATGGAGCTTCTATATTTTTATTTTAGGATAATTTTTAAAAGAGGAGAATGATAAGTGGTAGGGAGTATGGACTAGAGAGGACGCCCATTGTAAGGGTGCCCTTATATCCTATAGGTGAAGCAGATAGGGTTTGAACTGAATCGCTGACCGGGGAGAGGGAAGAGTGCGAGTCGAGCGAGTCGGATAGAGTTAGAGAGCGAGTTAGGGTTTGTTAATCTGAATTGCCGAAGGTCAGTGAGTGCGCTTATATTTCTTCTGTAACGTTTTTAGGTAAATGTGTATGCTTCACCTGAGAATTACGGGAAAATGGTGAGTTTTTTGTGGTATATGATGAAGATGATGATGTTTATGCGTGAGAAAGAGGTGTGTATATTGTGTGCAGGATTTCCCCTTGTCTTCGAGTGTGAGCGCTTGATTTGTAGAGAGGGAGGTTGTGGGATCGAGAGAGCGCAAGAACAACAGAAGAGAGAAAGTTTGAGTAAAAGTCTAGTGACTTTTTAGATTTGTTGTTGCACCCCTTTTTGCCATGTCTGAGAGGAAGCTTGTTGTAAGTGCAATTTCTTCCAGTGTACGAATATATGTTAGCTATTTTCATTTATGAGTTGCCTTTTGAAGGTTTTGGGTATCCCATGGGATGTGGATACAGAGCGCTTACAAGAATACATGCGCGAATTCGGGGATGTGGAAGACTGTATCGTGATGAAGGTTAGTCTTTGTAGTCAGTTTGATGGTTTATCTTCTCTTTTGTTTTAGTTATATGAAAATGGTAGTGAAAAGATCAATCTGGCGGAGAGAAATGTTTATATCCTGTCAAAAGTGAGATCTTGCATCAGTGCACCAAATGCCTAAGTATTGATGCACGAGTAGCTTAAAATGTTTGATGAACAAGTGGTTAAATTGAATGAGTCATTTAACCACGAACAAGTAGTTGACATGCTCATAACTGATTCAACCAATTATTACTCATGTTTAGGAAAGATCCACTGGCCGTTCTCGTGGATTTGGATATGTGACATTTGCTACCGTTGATGATGCTAAGGTGATGCTTGTGTTTGCAATTGTTTTACATATGTATATTCATTCTTGCCTTTTAATCTTGGTTTTTGATTCTTTTCAATCTAGAATTCTTTATTCAATGCCCTGTAATGACTTTCTTCTACGTTTCTGTATTGCAGAATGCCCTATCTAAGGAGCATTTACTTGGAAACAG